CCAACTGACTCAGATGACAAACAGTTCTGCAAACACACCATCTCCCTGCTGCTTTCCGCATTCGGGGTGGATATTTTTTGTACAAGGCTGCTCTCAACTTTTTTGATGTCTTCAGGGAATTATTGGCATAACACACGCATATCCACACATGCATTACTCTGGGTCAGGGCATGGAAGAGTGTACAACTGAAGATTAAAGCTATGCATTGGCTTAGGTTGTAAAAGCTGGTTGAACCGGCAAACCAAGGCAAGTAAGGTTGGTCGCTACATTGTTTTAAAGGCAGGTTAAACAAACAGGCTAAATATACAGCAGGGTATGTATCAGTCTTGAGTCTGCAGGGGCCTCCAGGTGTGTTACTAACTTGGCAGTGAGGTCCATCTTCTAGCCTATAAGAGAGGTCTTCATGATGATGGATAGCCATGTTTAGACAGGATAGAGACGGGGAAGATCGAAGAACCACGAGAAGGAAAAGAAACCCTTCCCTCTGGGTAACTAGGAGCAAAAAACATATTCCTACGATCCCAGCACTCAGGATGCTGAGACAAGAAAGTAGCTGCAAGTTCGAGGCCAGCCTAGACTACATAACAGGTTCAAGGCCAGCCAGGCTATAGAGTGAGATATTGTAAATAGATAAACACACAAAACAAATAAAAAGTTGTGATGCTTCAAACCACCACATTTTAGGCAATTAGTCACAGCAGCTACAAGACACTAACTAATCCAGACAGAGGGTGGACAAGACAGAGATGGAGAGGGCAGTGAGGAGTGTGTGTGTGTGTGTGTGTGTGTGTGTGTGTGAGAGAGAGAGAGAGAGAGAGAGAGAGAGAGAGAGAGAGAGAGAGAGAGAGAGAGTTTTATTCCTTCACCTATCTAGACACACCTCTTTTCTCTGCTCCCCAGCGGCCAGCAAGCATTCCTCACTGGTTTTTGGTTTGTTTGCTTGCTTATGAGAAAGGGTCTCATGTAGCCCAGGCTGGCCTTGAACTCCCTATGTAGTCCAGGATGACCTCCTGATTCCACCTCCTGAGTGCTGGGATCACTGAAGTGTGCTACTATGTCTGGGTTTAAATCCTGCAGCTTCGTGAAACTGTGAACGTATTCTAAAATCTTCGAAAGGAAAAAGAAAAGAAAAATCAGGCCCTCAGCTCAGGATCACAGCCTCTGTCCCACTTCCACCTTGTGAACACCAGCTCTTCTCCTCCAGTGTCCCTGGGGTATGCCCCTCCCGCTTGGGCCCGGCTCAGCTTGCCTCCCCAGTGGCTGGGAGCTGGTGGTGTGGAGAAGCTGCCTTCCCGGAGCTCCTGGCTGTCAGCACCTGTGGTAGCCACAGCACGGCTGTGAACTCTGTCACTCTGGCAGCTGATAAAGCCCCACGGTCTGCAGGTCTGGAGCCTGGGCCTCCCACCCTGATAAGTCTCGGCTGTCAGCAAGTGTCAGCTAATGTCCAAGCCGCTGTGTTCCTGCAGCCTCTGCCGCCACCCACTCTGGACTCCACGCTGCCTGTTTATGGCCACCGCTAGACACCTTGAGGTGACCCCAGGGAGCCAGGATGTAGCAACAGAAGCAGGAAGGAGAGGAGGAAGGTTTTTCAGCCCTTCCGCAAGGGGTACACAGTGGTGGAGAGGCAGGCATCCAGAGCCCCTGCCTCCTCTCATTTCCTCTGTTCTCAGCAGGCACTGTGCTGACTGTTGGGGATGCTCAGCAGCCTCAGGGCAGCATGTCCACACACTATTCCTATCAGGACCAAGGAGGGGGTGCTACCTACATCTAGTAGGTAGAGGCCAAGGAAATTTCTAAACACCTACTATGTACAGAGCAATCTTTCACTATAAAATAACTACCCAGCCCCAACTCTCCACTACGCTCAAATAGAAAGCCCCCTGAGCTGGATCACTCTCGAGGGCGGTGAGGAGGGCTGGCATGGACCAGGGACAGGCCCTTTCTCCACCTTTAGCAAATGCAGGAACTTCCTAACACTGCAGCTTCAAGGCCATGATTATTATGGGAAGGATGCCAATCACAGATGCTCCTATTTAGCACTCTGGGAGAAGAGGAGGGGTCCTCACCAACTCCATCTTAAAGGAAAGGAAAATGTGTCTCAAGCGGTTGCCTGGCTCCCCCAATCCCTATTACAGGCTGAACCATGTCCCTTAGAAAAAAAGCTTGTTCAAGTCCCAAGGTCCAGTCCCATAGGATTTGCTCTTATTTGGAGGCAGAGTGTTTTTTTTTTTGTTTGTTTGTTTGTTTTTGTTTTTCTTTTCTTTTTCTTTTTTTTTTCCCGAGACAAGGTTTCTCTGTGTAGTTTTGGTGCCTGTCCTGGATCTCTCTCTGTAGACCAGGCTGGCCTCGAACTCACAGAGATCTTCCTGGCTCTGCCTCTTGAGTGCTGGAATTAAAGGCGTGTGCCACCACCACCCAGCTTTAGAGAGGTCTTTAGAGAGTCAAGGTAAAGTGAAGTCATTAGAGGTAACCCTAATCCAATGTGACTGGCATTCCATAAGAGGGACATTTGGGCTCTGGGTATGGTGACACACACCTGTAGTCAAAAACCACTCCTCAGCCTTCCAAGGGTCAAAAAAGGCCAGCCAGCCCCCGTGGGACTTCAGTGTGCCAAGAACTGTGCCAAGCAATTTGCAGTTTTCGTCTTATTTAACTTTCATTAAAAAAACAAAACAATAACAAAAAACAAAAACCTATGACTTCAGGACTAGGGAGATGGCTCAGTGGGAAAAGTGTTTACTGCATGAGGACCTGAGTTCGGATCCCCAGAATGACTATAAAAAGCCAGGCACGGTGGTATGTGCCTATAACCCCAGTGCTGGGGGAGCTGGGACAGGTGGATCCCTAGCCTTTAAACCCAGCACTCAGGAGGCAGAGGCAGGCAGATCTCTGTGAGTTCGAGGCCAGCCTGGTCTATAGAGCAGAGTTCCAGGACAGCCAGGACTACATAGAGAAAAAAAAAAAAAAAACAAACCAAACCAAACCCTGAAGAACAAGACTGTTCTGACTGCTCAGCAGTTACAAGCACATACTGTTATTATTATTATTATTATTATTATTATTATTATTATTATTATTATTATTTTGGTTTGGTTGTTTGAGATAGGGTTTCTCTGTGTAGTCCTGGCTGTCCTGGAACTTGCTCTGTAGACAGAGGTTGGCCTGAAACTCACAGAGATCCACCTGCCTCTGTCTCCTGAGTGCCGGGATTAAAGGCATGTACTACTGTAGTAGGATAGGCACATAGGGTTGAGGAAACTGGCTCAGACCAGTTGCTAAGGCATGCACATAGCATGCTCCTTATGCGCCAACCTGGAGTCTGTCTGAGGGCCTAGCAACAGGTGCTGTCGGAGTTTCTGGTCACTGTCAGAGTTCCTGATTGATGTCAGAGTTCTTGATCATGCCCAGCCAAAGAGGGACCACCACACAATGCCACCAGATTGTGACACAGACTGGGTGCTGGGAGGAGGGTATATAAGGCTTTCCCTGTTATTAAATAAACAAGTTTGTTGTTTGCCTTCTGCTGACTCCCGGTGTCTGTGCTGTTGACGCTGCATCTTCTCACCCCCTCCCCAGAGGGAGCCATTAGGGTCCATGCTACCACTGCCAGGCTTACAAACTGTTTTTGAGGAGGATCCCAGTTTGGTTCCCAGTACCCGGGTCAAGTGACTCACAACCACCTGTAACTCCAGCTCCAGGGGATCTATTGACCCCCCTTCTGGACCCCAAGAGCACCTGCATTCACACATGAGCAGAACTGCCTTCCCCACCCCATTCCCGACATCTAATTAAAAAAAAAAATTTAAACAATAAGGGACACTTATAAAAGACAAAAATAAAATAATTTAAAGGGGACATTTGGACATGAAGAAATCTAAGTAAACAAGGGGCAGCCTGTGGCAGTGACAGCAGAGGTATCAGAGCCACTGAAATGCTACTCCCTGATGTCACTGGGCAAACAGACTTCAGCCAGGCCCTGGGACTTCATCACAACACTGCTACCAACAACCCAACTGGACAGCTACCAGGCTGGCCCAAGGCACAACCAGATCGGTCTGATTCAGGGTCTCAGGCTCCCCAGGCATCTCTCATGCCTTCACATTTGGCAGGTCCCTTCAGGCAAGGCTGTGGCTTCCTGCTAAGGTTGTTGTGCATTTGTGGGGCCTTCCTCTATACCCACACAAATGTGTCCAATCATAAGCCAGGCCAGGGAAGCAAGCACCTGTCGAGGCAGGAGCAGGGGGCAACTCATGTGGCCCTGCAGCAGAAGCTGGCAAGCACATGGTCAGGCATAGGATTCATATTTTAAGTCCAGATTCAGATCCTGTCTCTAACACTCACCAGCTGTGTGATTTGGGGTAGATCACTCGGGGACTTCTTGTCTCAAGCATCCCAATTAGTAAAATGGGAACAAAAGCTATGGGTTTTTTAGGATTTATTTTGAGACAAGATTTTATGTAGTCCAGGCAGGCCTCAAACTTGATATGTACCTGAGGATGACCTTGAACTTCCGGCCCTACTGTCCCAACACCTTCCAAGTATTGGGGTTACAGGTGTGTACCATCACATCCAGTTTTACATTGAGGTGCTGAGGATGGAATCCAGAGCTTTGGGCATGACAGATGAGGTACACTTCTAGATCAAAGTCTTGGTTAGATGAGGTGAAACCTGTGAACATCTCAGATCAATTCCTGACACACTGAAGTTCTGTGTGCATTGCTATGTTGATGTCTTTACTGGTCACTGGAAGACTGGGGGGGGGG